AATGCTGAAATATTAATTCAGTAGATAAAATTGGAGATACGTATGTGGTTTAACACCTTAAGAATTAAAGCATATTCATCATGCTCAATAACAAGAATAATAATAACAAATAACCACAATAGAAAAAATAAAAACTAACCTGGTTAACAAAGGGACTAATTTGGTTCTTTAGTCTCAGCAGCTTGCCAAGAGATTTCTCAATCACTTGAGGGAAGGACAGGAGGCGCAGTGTGTGGCCTGTGGGGGCTGTGTCAAACACAACCACGCTGAAGTTCATCCCCTGGACGAGCCTGAGGATAATGTTTCCAGATTAGAAGCTTTTTGTTTATAACAATTTCAGAGATTACATCTTTAAAAATTACATCTATAAAAGGATATTTACATGGTAGGCAGGGGGATATATTAAATATTTGGTCTAATTTAGTTTTTTCCTTATTTGATAAACATTTTGACAATATCATCAGGGCATGAAATTTACAACAGCAATGGTGGCAACTACCACTGTGTCCTTCCAAACTCCCGCAATGCCCTAAAATTGTGAGGATTTTTTACAGCAATGAATTATTGTCACCCTAGCTGCAAATTGCTGCCATGTCCTTTTGGCCGACACAATAGCTGTGCAGACTGGATTGCCGGTGAGCAGGCTGACTAACAGCCATCAGCACAGCGCGTGCAGAAAAAATTCAGACAGTACTCAGGACAGAATGATATGTTGTACAAAAGATCAGACAATGCTGTATAGGAATCTTCCTCATGCACAGGATGCCAGCTAAATTGTACATTTTTGGATCATTGATACATGTTTTTGTACAATTGCTTGAATCTCCCTGGATTTATTGTAATTGCCTTGATGCCCTTGAAAAATGCAAAATTTGCCTAGATGCAATTAAATTTTGCTGAAATTTCAAGGCAAAAATGCAGTTTAGCCTGGATTTCCTGCCCTATATAATATGTATTTTGGGACCAATTTTTTTTTTTGGGGACAACCCAAACAAAACGTGACATCTGAAAAAAAGAAAGAAAAAAAGACATACCTTCAATTTACCTTTGAGGTTATGGATGAAGCAATATTCTTTTGATCTACAACATATTCCTAAGAGAATGTAAAAGGGAATATCTGAATTTCATTTTTCAAGAAAAACAGACTGAAATCAAAATATGCATGTCAAAATACAAATAAAAAATCATTAGGAATAAACAAAAACATAATCCAAAAATCACCCAGCTCTGTTGTACATGTTCATAGTCTTTCTATTGATACAACCAGATTTTTCATTAATAAACATCTGTTTCAGTTACTCTGTAAACAGTGCAAAATGTTATTTAGAAAAAACAATAATTATATATATATATATAAAAACAAACAAATAAATAAATAAGGTTTATCTCCTACTAACCTCTAAGAATTACAAATCCAACAGTTCATTAGTTCCCACACCCGCAAAAACAGCCTGATATTCAAAGTTTTACAGAAGAGCTAAATCTTATGCCTAAGATTATATTCCTTTCATTGTCCTATATCATATAGATAACATCAATAGCATGAAAAGAGAAAAAAAGTCATTGCTGCTACCTTTTGTTTATGAATGAAAATAGGAATAAATTACCAATGACCATGAATAAATAAATAATACAAATATCAAATGATATAAACTATTGTGCAATAGGATAGTATGGTAGTGGAAAGGATAAAGAAGGGGAGCAAATGGGGTAAGGCAGGGATTAATAAAAGGGGGGAGAGAGCACAGGCCAATTTGATCAAATGGAGAGTATCTATGTATCTTAGGAAGAGAGAGCAATAGTGTATGATGAACACTGCAAAAGAGCCATTATGAAGCAATCAGTAGGTAATATGGATAGAAATGGGTGTCGGAGAAGTAGGAAAAATGGAATCCAGGTATGCAGTATCAGGAAGAAAGTTAGGAGTGGAAGGATCCAGACAAGGACACTGTTGTGACAGAAGGGAGTCGAAGGAGATTTACAATCTGTCACGATATCTCGGCTAAACTACTACCAATATTTTGGTATTGGTAAATGTTGCACTTTTGATCTAATATCTTCTATTATGATTACTTCTTGCCAAACTTTATCTTATTTAAAGTGAAATACAATAAAGACAAAAAAATTCAAATCTAGCAAAAGAAAAGTGAAAAAAAGATGCTGTAAACAAAATATTTTGACTAATAAGGAAATCCATGGCAAGTTGTTCTATTCACCTACAATCAAACTCAGTTCTGCATGTTGACACCATACAGGTTTAAGGGGACCATCCCAAGAGTGTAAAAATTTTGGGGTCAAACTGAGTTATTTAGCGTATAGTATAAGTACATGAATGAGGAAAATACCAAAAGAGTATTAAAGTCCAGCTATGGTTAATTCTTGGGCAGCGCACGCGAGACCCGCCAATACGTGGGGAGGTACACCGCTAATGTGCGCCCAAGTACACCTAAATGGAATTTGGTTGTTGCAATCGTGTATACGGGATTTGATAATGACATTGCACATAGATATGAGTATGTGAATTTTCAAAGAACACTTTTATACCAATATCAGAAGAAAGTTATATCACAGTGATTTATGACAAAATATTTTGTGAAATATATAGAAAAAATATGTGAGTTTTGTGTACTTTTACACATGAAATATGCTTCCATCAAGACTCCCTGGTAATGTGTTATAGCTGACAAAGGGATCTGTATGTATACCAAGTACGAAGCACTAATGTTAGAAAATGACCATATGGTAATGATTAAAATATTTCCATTAGATTTCATTCCATGGTCAATACTTTACATGATCAGTAAATTTGATTTTATTTGAAATTGGTCATTTCCGCTATAAAGAGGACTTCAATACAAAGAGTACCAAAAGTCAGATTCTTGAACTTCGGGGATATGAGCGAGATAGTGATTATTTCATGTTGTGGATGACAGTACACAGTAATACCTGCTCTGAAATAAAAACTAAATAGAATTTTGAGCTTGTTTGTATGCGCAATCAGCTATTGTATCCTTTTCGTGCGTTTCCGATAAAAATATTATGTTTAGACGTTACTGTAGGTCTTGGGTACCATAAATACGCAAATATCCAACCACACCTAGGCATCTGCATGATTTTATGCACTTCTTAGTAAAGATAATGGGTGGAAAGGAATAATCACCAACTCTACACTTGTTCTTGTTGCAAACTGTTACTGTTGACAATGATCAAAGAATACTGTTTGATAGGAATAACTAATATACCATATTCCTTTACTTATAAAAGTCGAAGTAGGCCTACTAAATGAGGATGATTAAATCTTTAAACTTTATGTGCATGTGTTTACGTAAATATGATCCTCCTCCAAAAAATTATCAAAATTGAACTGCCATGTTGTATTCATGGTAGGACTTTATAACTACGATGATTTTGTACTGATATTGCCATCCACAGTTCTTCATTTCTTCAAAATTGGAGTAGAAAAAAAAAAAAGTTTTTTATCTGGTTTACATTACTTCTCAAAGCATTTATCAAACTTTTTTGACAGAAATATCTACTTTTATATCCATCAAACAAACATACGAGACATACCTTTACAGAATAGCGTCCCTATTTAAAATGATAATTCCGATTGACTTGGAAAGTATTGCATCGCAAAGTACACTAAATAAGTTTTTTTTTTATATATACATATAACATCATTAGATTTTGAGGAAAATAACAGAGATAATGAACTTTGGGAAGTGTCCAAAATATAAAACGTCACATCTCCATTTTTTGTTTACATTACCTTCGGTACATCCTAACTTTCGTAATTTTCGTGCAATTCACACGCAGTTGCTTTCGCTAAAGTCTCGGAGCCCTGAGGCCGTGTAAATGGCCAATGTTTGAATATTGAACTACATAAAAAAATATAGATTATCTAAAGCTGTATAAAACAGACCAAAAATAGTACTCTATGTCAACCAGTCCCCTCCCCTGCCCACCAAAAAAAGAAATTCAGAAATTAGCCTTTTACATGACCTTCAGCTAGGGTAGATCTAGCACAGTATTTTTGGGGGATTATTCAAGAAAACACTGTGGGAGTTAGGATGTACCGAAAAAGAGAGGATTTTTTTTCCCCCCAACTTTTTTGAGGCGCCTCCCCCCTATCGGAGGGCGAGGTTAAAATTCTATATGAGACAGAACGCAATTATATACCCTATGATATGCAAAAAGAATCAATGAGTTATCTCCAACTGATATTTTTTTATGATGAAATGAGTAGGGAAAGGTGGGCATTTCCCAGGACAGTCACCTTAATTTGTAAGTAGATCTACATTTACAGGGTTGACTTCAATCATGGATTATACAAAAATAGGTGACCATGTTCACAGAATAAAATTTGGTTACTGTGATTAGATCAAATTTCTTTATTTACCTTTAATTATCACAGACTTACTTGTCTTCTAACCATTCAAGTAAGACCTATCCAACACATACACATACAATAACCTATTCTTACTTCATAACCTCCGCATAGCTCATGGCTTCGTCAATGCCTGGGAAAGCCCCAAGCACTTCCTGTAGTATGTCTCTGCCCATACGCATAGCATCACTGGCCCCCTCAAAGTACTCGTCTGGCAACTCTCCATATCCTATGTTAGGATCAATTTCCTGAAAAGACAACAATAACTGTATCTGCTCACGCAGCTTAAAGAAATATAATTAATGAGAAAGGATTTTAATATCTGAATCTATTTTTTTAATAAAGCATATAAAGTCTGCTGACAATTGCACCATATATATAATACAAGTTCTAGGTCTATAATGTTGTTTGATATTCAATCTCTCTTTCAAAGCTTACAAAGTCTGTTACGTATCTGACTATAACCAAAATTTAGACTACATATTCCTCAATTCCAAAAGGATGGAAAAGTTGAGCAATACAAGTGTGCTACACGTGCATATACACTTAAGCCACTAGCAATGGTACATTTATAAACCAAAAATAATATTTTCCGGGAGGCTTCTAAATCTGGGTGTCTCATATGTGGGACACCCGTAGTAAGAGGGTTAATAATAATAATAATAATATTAATAATAATAATAATAATAATAATAATAATAATAATAATAATAATAATAATAATAATAATAATAATAATAATAATAATAATAATAATAATAATAATAGAAAAAAATACTTATGTCATTTACCTTGTGCAACATATCTAAGTGTGATAAATGCCACTGAATGTAATTTACAGTTCTTTAGAGGTTTCAGACTAAAAAGAGTACTCTCATAGCATACCTGTTTGATATAAAATGACTTACCATAGCATACAGATTCTCAAAGCCTTTGACTTTGATGGGTACTTTTGAAAATTTCTGATCAAAAGCATCTGATATGTTGTGTGCTGGGTCAGTGGAAATAATTAACACCGACTCTCGGGCCTTGGCAAGTTGTACTGCCAAACTACAACTGAAAACAGAAGCAAGAAAGTGTCAGATACATGCTTTAAAGGCAGTGTTTCCCAGACTTTTCTGCACACAATCCTGACTGTAGTTTTTTTTTCTGGTAACCCTTAAATGAACATAGACTAATTATTGTTATTGTTAGCTAATGGTTCTTTTCTTAGATTTTTCCATAAATCTTTCAACTCTAAAATTGCAAAGTAGATATATTTGAACTACTTCCTTTTGTATATTTAGCATTTAACATCTTTTTCCATTAATTTTTGCAAATATCCCATAACTAAAAATAACAACCTTGTGAACCTCACATGGGTTGAAAACAAATGTCATAATCCCTTGGCAAAGCAATGGCAATCATCATAAATATGAATATAAAAGACTGAACTAAACTACAAAAATTATCCTTGATTTCTTTCAGGTATGAGTAGCTGCAACAAAGTTATCATAATTCAGACAATTTAGTAGCTATTGTCCCTTAAATCATAGCAATTTTATCAAGAGCTCATTTCGCTGTAATATTGTGAAAGAATTCATAAATCTAAGTAGAATTGTTTTTGCTTCTCTGGCAAAAGAACTGTTCAAATTGTATGTAGATGGTTGTGCATGTAACAAGCATTTCTAATAAAAAATGTTTACAAGATATGCAATCCATATCATGATTAACCTATTAGATTAGGATGCTTCACCTCTATCATGTGGCCTAAAATACCAGCATTAGGCTTATGTAAGTGGACAATCTGCCAGGTGTGTGGCTTGTAGCCCAGGCACAAACAAACACTCATGTGACAAGACTTCATGCCTCTCTTTTGCATTGTAATTTTGCCTTTTTCTTTGCACAGACTCTATACCATCTCCCTAAGTCTATGATTTTGTGCAATTATAATAACAATAAGTAACACTTTGTTATTTGTATCTTTCTTTCTTTTTTAGCTATCAATAATATAACCTGCCCTGCTAGTCATAGTTGGCAAGAATATGATCCTAAGCAGTGTCCTCCCAAGAGCCAGCACTCTTCCAGTCATGGCTCATGGACTTTACATCCCACACTCATTTATCGACAGAAATAATACAAAATGAACCAATTAAATCATCCACCAACAACTTTGTGCACTCGTGCCAAGTCTCTGCCATTATCTCAGACTTCAGTCTAAAGGCTTACGATTGTAAAGTCGCATCACAGCTACACTTTCCCATGACAGAATGTTCACATCATCTGCCCCTCAAGGCAAATTTTTTCATGACATGATGGTCACATCATCCAGATCACAGAGATTAACGGGGCCGTCACACTCTAGAACATGTTAATTATGATCAGATTTTTACAATTTTTTTAATATGTTATACACATATACTAGGATTTACACCACCAAGTTTCATATCATTTGGATAATAAACAATGAAGTTATTTTAAATACAAACAAGATTGTGAAAAAATATATATATATATAAATCTCACTTATCCATTGACTGAACTTGTTTTTAAAAAATACCACATATACTCTATAGCACTAACTAAATTTGACAAGATTCGGATTTTGAAATTTCCTCTTAGTTTAGTGGGATTTTTTTTTTTAATCTTCATTGTTATGAATATAAAATATAATATATGGAATTTTATCACTTGAAATGAAAATCGCATCATCGCAAAAATCACAAATTTACTCCGCTTTCAAATGATCCAAACCCTAGAATCACCAAAGTAGTTATGGAAATACATAAAAAAGTCTCGACAAAGGTGTAATTTTGAGATATCAGGCTTTGAAGTTGAGGATATTTTTTCCTCCATTTTTTTTCTTAGAAATCTGATCTCGCCGTCAATCTTGGTGCATTCTATGGCATTCACATGGTATTCTGAAGTGTAGCTGGTACCTGGTCCCCCCATTTTGCAAGGTGCTAATGGCAATAACTGCACATGATTGTAGAAGTACTGCGTGTCATCACAGGCTTCGCAGTGCCTTTACAGTACCTTGTGAGGCATTTCATACAAATAAACAACTGCTGCAGCTGTGACTGAGATGTATTTCTAATCATATCATGTTCATTAGTTACAGGAATAACATCTAT